ATATTGTTACTCTTATTTTATTATTATTTTATAGAATATGCTTCCTCCTATCGCTTAATTTTTTATCACGATTATCTTTCGATTATCTTTCAAGAACGGATTTATTTAAACGCGACACTTGTGCAATGGCGATGCCATAAGAAGCGTGAGTCACATCCGCGATTACCGTGCGATGCACGTTTGACACGATTTGTATCGTACTCGGTTGACGAAAGGAGGAAAGTCCCGCGGATCAATACCGAGAATTCCCCCATGAAGTTGATCCGAGGTAAAGAAAGCAAACCGGATGTACACATGAACCGGACACGCGTACGAACGAAAAGGCGTTGGCGAATGCATGCGTACAAGAGTGTCCTATTATGGAAACAAAAATTATAAGGATTGTATTAACCTTTTAAACGTACACAACGACTGAAAGAGTCTTCTTTAGTAAAATATGTGTTATTAAGAACGCATTGTTGAAGCAAGATTCTAGATAGTGAACTGATTCACCCCACAAAAGTCTAATAAAAAAAATTTAGAATTTTTTTCAATATTTTAAATCTAATTTTTTTCTTTTTTTCAAATTAAATTTTATTTAAGTATCTACCTGTGAAATTAAGTGAAGTACAATACTTTGCTGCCGATATTTAGACATAAATAATTTATGAATATCTCAAGATCATCTATAGACAATAAAGTTGTAGATTGGAAAAAATGATCTGGTTGGATTAAATAGCATAATTCTAGTAAAAGATGGATGAATCAGATTTGTCTGATTAAAATCTACTAAAATTTTAGTTGAGACTTTAGTTGAGAACTAAAATTCTGGTTGATATAATTATTCTGATAAAAATAAGAATTCTAATAAATTTTATCAGAAATATTGTATCAATCAGAATTTCAGTTATTTCAAGTAAAATTCTAATAAATTTAATCAGAAAATTCTGATTCGTCCATTTTCAACCAGAAAAATTTTTTCAGTTTACAGTTTAGACTATTGTACCTCTATTTCATGTAAAACTATATTCTACGGATGATATTCAAAAAATCTGCAGATGAAAAAAGAAGTACGGATATTGTAATATTCTTTATTGATCTTAAGAACGCACTTTACTTGGCGCCAACCATAACTTCCAGACAATTATTCGTTACGTAAGCGCAATAACTTAAGAACGCATTAACAGGTTAGCAGTGGCATAGCCTTGATATGATAACAATCAATCATTTCGCGAAGTTTTTACGAGGATACGTAGGTGTTGGCTCTGAGTATCCGTCCCGATATCGTGAAATCGATTCAAGAGAGGGAACAAGAGAAAAAGAGAACGAGATTGAGATTAATTATTTTATCGTTTCCATGAACTCGCCTTTGATTGAGAAGTGACATCCTGCGACGCCAATGAAATTAGTGCACGTAGGCGGAACGTGACAGCATCGAGAAATATTTGCATCTCGAGAATGGTACTTAAAAAAAAATGTCCATCGTGCACTGTGAGAACTGAAGTCTTGAGATTTCAGATAAGGAAAAGTATTCCGATAGTACAATGTTAATTATTCGAAAAAAAATTATTTGTTTTATTCTTCAGAAATAATTTCTAAATTTCTAAATTTAAGATATAAAACTTCTTAAGGTATAAAAAGATATAAAGGAGGATTAACTTTTTTTCCGTTTTTCAGTAAAATGCGCAATTTATTTTGACATTCAGTTATAATATGTTTATTTTTTATAATATTGATAATAATTGTCTCAAAATAATTAATGAAACGCTTCTTTTAATATTTATTTTATGCTTTGATAATTTTTCTTTCTCTCACATTTTACTTTATCATGCAAATCTACCTTAATTTACTTAATTCCGTCAATTTAAATATTTTAATGAAATTTCTAAGAATAAAACTGTCATATACTTCCTCTGCTTTCACATTGCTTAAATATAAACACTTATGTATCGGCGAAATAACGTTAAAGCTTGATAAAAAGTACGGGAAAGCAAGAAAACGCGAGATAAGCGTCACTTTCATCTAGTCTTACGCGTTAGTTTGTCGGGCGAAATCATCCGACATCGGACTTTCCCGTCGGTCTTAATGACTGATGCAAATGTGCCGTCATTAGGCCTCGTTGGGCTCATTTTACTACTATTTGTCTTTATAGCTCTCCACGGCATCATCATTGTTCCTTTTAATGAAGAAACGAGTTCTTTTCGCCACTGTCAGTCGATCGCGGTCGCGAAACAACGCGGCACTTAGTGCGATCGTAAACGTTCCTAAACATGACCGTTAGCCTGATGAACGCGTTTAGACCCCTTTATCCTCTCGGCTTGGTATATTATTATGCTGAAATGGAATTGAATGAGTCGCCCGAGGACTCGTATACTCGTAAATTTCAAATCTCGTTATGAGTTTACGATGTTTACGCAAATTTCATATTAATTTAAACGTTAACTCGCGTAATCTCACATCGAGTATGTTGGAAATCTAATTCAAATGTAGAATATATAATAATTGAAAACTGCACGGATAATTTCTTTTATTGAATTTTATTTAGATAAAATTGAACCAATATGCGTTTCAAAAACGATACATTTTTTTTAAACTGGAGTTATTTCTTAATTTGAAATTTTTATTTTTTGAAAAATTCGATACTCTTAAACATAATTTTTTTTTTATAAAACGTGATCTTTAAAGTAAAGTATTGTATATCTTCAAATTTAAAGTATTGTGCAGCTTCAACTTATTGTGCGATTATTCGCGATCGTATTACAGTTGTACAGAATTTTCCAGGTAATTTGCGTAATTTATGCGAGAATGAACTTGATTGACCTCAGAATCGATTTTTTACAATACGACAAATTCCAGTCGCCGTTCCAATTCGTCAGCAAATCTTCGTATTAATAGTCGACAAACTTTTGAACGATTGAAATATGCTGTCCTGCGGTGACCCGTGTTTTGTTATTGTTGCAAAAAAATATAAAGATCGATGGTGCAATATTTGGCGACACGTGCGACGTCATCATTTACGTCGTTTAATTTGTAAAACTTCTGTGTGCTTTACCTCGGTTTATATGAAATAGAATGAACCGAAAAAACTATGAAATGAAAAAATTAATTACACTACTCTTGCATGTTATGACGATTAGCTTTGCAATAATAAGCGCAAAAATTGAGACTTGGTTTGGAAAAGATTTTATTAAACAAGATATTATTAATACACTTATAATTATAAAAATATATTCATGTCTTCTCAAATCAATATTCTTTTAAATTTTAATGCAAGTCAAACTTGATTTGAGGAAAAAAGAATATATTGAATTAAGAAACGAGATTTTTAAATTAATTTAATTCTGGAGAAAATCCTTTTAGCATTCTCTAAATTTCAAATTTATTATAATTTGAAAAGTATTACTATATTGTGATTGAAACATACATTCATCTTTAAATAGTAATAATGGATATTTTATGCAGAAATAAAAAATTAGTGAATTGAATATTTAAAAAATCATATACGATATATTTTATATAGTTATTATTTAAACATTTAAAGCATCACGTAAAAATCATAAAAAAATATTTCCCATCAAATAATTAACAACTATTGCATTCTCGCGGTCACATTCTTGCGGCTATTTCTACCGCACTCATTATCCTCACTACGAACATTCGCAACTTGCGGTTATAATTTTCATTTAGATTTCGCTGTTCTTCCGGCCGCAAGGAAGATGATGTCACAATGGATGGCGCCTGTTAGGTCCCGCGAAATTACGGGAACATTTCTGGAAACGGAATGAGTAACGTCGTTGATCCGATCGTTCTCTTTGTGAATCATCGTCGTTCCGACAATGGAACCGATGAAATCATAAAAGCGCCATAGATCGCTCTCAGAAAAAATGTACTGTATAATCTTATTGCGTACTAACGAATGCTTACTTTTTTTTATTAAAATAAATTTTGCTCAATTTATTCAGAACAGAGAGTTTTTTTATAAAACGCGATGGAATTTTTATCAGGTTCTCGCGATGTATCTTGCTCGTGAGTCACGTCGGAGATTCGCTGGAAGGACTGGACGTGTCAAGAGTCGTCTCGCGATCTCGTTCAAGACTAATTATCACGGCTGGACGTGAATTAGGGACGTAAACCTAAACGATGTTGCCGCCACCGCGGCCATAAGAGCGCGGAGCCGACGTTGACACTATCGGCGCTCCCGATCTTTCCTACTTCTCTTCTCTCTTTACGCTCGCACGAGAAACGCACGTCGGCCTCTTCACGCTCGAACAAGCCAACGATGCTTGTTATCTCGCGCGCCGTTCGAGAGCGAACATCGTTTTAACCAATTTGCATCCGTAACTGCGTCTCTGCGAGTGAAACAGAGTGCATAAAGGAGCCGCAGTCATCATTTTGACATGTTATTTGATCAATAACCTCTTTTCATTGATAAAAAATAAAAAAGTTTGTCGCGCACACGTCAGTTGATTAAAATTTTAAATGATCGGAGCATAAAACACAATTATTTAAAAAATATATTGAAAATTTTATATATAAATATTATTTATAATTATATATATATATATTTATATATTATGTAATTTGATAATTTGATATAAAATAATTTTTTGAAAACTTTATTAATAAATTAATCAATTAGCAATATATAAATTAGCAATTAAAAAAAGTATAATGAATATTTTTAGAAACAATCTTGTAAAATTACGAGTTAAATAAATATAAAAATTTATAAATTTTTTTTGCAGAGAGAGAGAGAGAGAGAGAGAGAGAGAGAGAGAGAGAGAGGTGAATTATTATTTATAAAATTATAAATATAGCATTAATCGAAAACATTAAAAGAACGTATAAATTTTTTATTTCAATGATTCAGAAAAATCATTTTATAAAAATCGTTGTCAACACTCTCCTGTCATTTTTCATCCTGCATTTCTCTCGAGCGACACTTCACACGATTAGCCAAAGCACTTGTCCTTTCGTGAGGTTAAAGTTTTTTCATCAATCGTGATCTGCGACAAAATATTATGAAGAAAGCTGGAGTGGCTCTGCAAAGCGAGGTGCACACGGAAAAGGAATGGCAACAGTTATTGAGTCGCCCGGGCCTGATCGTTGTAGATGTGTACTGTGACTGGAGCGGACCTTGCACTGCCATGATAAGCACCCTGAAGAAGATTCAGATGGAGGTAGGCATCGAGGCGGTGGAATACGCGATTGCGCGAAACGATGACATCGACGACTTGGTCAGATTCCGAGGCCGAAGTGAACCCACCTGGATGTTTCTACAGAACGGCAAGATGGTGAATCTAATATTTGGTGCGCATTGTCCGAGCTTGCGAAAGCAATTGATAAATGAGATAAAGAGAGCGCAGCAATTAGAAACTCCGAAGTGGCATTTGAGTGTATCTGAACGATCGCCCGAAGAGGAGGTCCGATGGCAGAAACAAGAAACCATTAGGTGAAGAAACATTGATTTTGTAGATTTTAAGAATAGATATTGTCATGAATAAAATCTCTGATAATATATCTAGATAAAAATGAGGATAGTTAAAAGGAAGATTTAAAATATGCGATAAAGTCATCGTATTAAATTATAAAATTATTGTGTACTATAATCGTTTTACGTTTTGCTATAAAATATCACTGTATCTGATCATCTGATCAATTTTTTCAATTATCAAAATATTACAATACAAATTGAAAAAAAAATTGCGTGATCAGATACAGCGATATTTTGTAGCAAATGTAAAACGACTATAATACAATGATAATTTTATAATTTAATACAATAACTTTATTGTGTATTTTATAAATCTTCCTCTTAATTCTTCTTATTTTTATTTGGACATATTGTCGGACATTTTATTCGCAAAAATCTCGCGTCGCAAAGCAAATAAAGCGCAGTCTCGAAAAAAGAGAGTCACATATATTTACAAAAACCATCTCGATAAAAAGGCGAGCGCTGGAAGAAGAGAAACAAGCAAAGGAAGAAGCCGAGAGGCTGGAAAAATACGAGCGATTTATGGCGCAAATGATGGTCGAGTTGTGCGAGGATACGGTGCTGGTGCTTTATCCGTGGGTTTTTAAAGACGAACGTGGAAGACCTCGGGATAAGATGCACAGTCCACCGTATACAGAACTCGTGAAGGATCTCTTCAAACAATGCTACGAGGTGAGGGAGGAAGCACGGATCCAGCTGAACGAGGACATGATCGAGAAGATGTTCGTCGAGAGCGGCGTCGACATCACCGAGGAATTGATAAAAGGTGCGGTACCGGAAAGGCAAGTCCCAGGATCAGAAATAATCATGAGTTCTAAGTGACGTAATAACTGATAGATTGTCGTATGTCACAATCCATGATATTCACTCTCTATGTACAGTCGCGATTAGGGAAAGGGAAAAATAATAGAAAAATGAATATGAATGGGCTTATTCAGGGCTAACCGACGGGAAATGCATGGCGATGAGGTTGAAAGGCAAACCACCCCATCCAGACTGGCCGGTTCAATATCCTTATGAGAGTCCAGAACGTGATTCGTATCCGGTCCGTGCCATCAATGATGTCGAGAATTATCTTATTAGCATCCTCACGCAAGGACCACCGACTTTTTCACAAACTGAAGGACCTGAGATCAGACCGACTTATGATACACCTTACATGGAGAGACATGTGTACGAGTACGAGCCGGAAATTGAGGATGACGTATCTCGCGTGTATCCCGCGGTTTGGGTACCTCCTCAGGTATTTGGTCGACGAAGCTGGAAAATATTTGAAAATTAATTAACTAAATTGAATGGAACTTCAAATTGAGCGGGACGTTAAATTAATTTAATGGAAAGATAAAGAAAATTCTACGATATAATAATTATTACGAATATTTCCTCTTATATACAAATTATAACAATAATAATAGCATTTACAAAGAAGTATTATTTATTGAAAATTTACAACGAACGAGAGATTGATACAAACACGGAATTTTGTAGGCTAGAAGTAAAGTTCACGCCTTCAAGACTCTATTTTCGGGTTACATGGAGAAAGCTCATCCTTACGAAGAGCCGACAGTTCCTCCGCCGTTGTGTGCTTTCAAATTCGAAGTATCGAAATTCAACATTGTGCGAGACGCGTACGAATTGAATTGTGATGCGATTGAACATTTCGGCGTCTTCGAGTTCGATCGGCCTTACGCGAGACGCCTCGCGTCTTCACCCCAGGATTTCGAAAAGGTGTATTATTTTTCTCCAATCATAATACAACTAATTTAATAACATTTAATCAAATTAAATACATATAATTTCTCTTCTATAATAATTTAACTTCGATAAACTTAAATGAAAAATTAAATAAACTATATTTTTATCATAATTTAACAATGAAAAGGCAGTTATGACGAATAAGAGTTATTTGTGAAAGGTGAAGTACAAAACTGGCGTTGAGGTATTTGTGGTGATAATTCGAAGAATCAACGAAGAAACCTTCCTGGCTTTTGCCGGCATCGAGCCGTTCTTCGTGACAGAAGTTGACGAGGAGGTTCAAGAAGTAATAACGGCATATTTCTCTAAAGGAGTAGAGGATGTGACACCGGAAGAACTTTATGAAGACGAGGATGAGAAAGAAGAGAAGGAAGAGGATTAAGAAGAGGAATTTAAATAAATTATAGTTTATTCTTTTTATTAATATATTAAGTATATCTTTAATAATTTACTTTATAATTTTCATTTCTTTAAAGACGTAATATCTTTTAAAATAATTATGTCGGTATAGATTTTATTATTAGTAAAATAGATATTAGTCTAAATAGATTTTACTATTTAGTAAAAATAAATTAATAAAAATAATTTAGTAGAAATAACAAAATTCTTTTTAAGGATTTTATCCACGTATAAAAAGAAATATAGATACTTATAAATGAAAATGTTTTTGATAATGCGAGTTGTAAGTACATAAAATTCAAAATTTGAGAGAGAGACAGGATTGCAGGAAATTATGAAAATTTTTCCATATGGAATAACTCACGTTTTGTAAGTTTACAATCTCTACGTGTTTTGGCAACAGTTGTGTGATGTTCGATTATTCGTTTGGCACTGCGTGTTTGCGTAAATTTGGCGAAATGTCAAGCCAATTCATAGAATTTATAAATGCAAATTAATTTGTTTCCAATTTTAATACTAATAAACTGCGCTAAAATATTTACAAAAAAATACGCGCGAGAAAAATCATCAAAAATGCATTGCTGAAATTTTTATCTTCAAAACAGAAATTTTCGCGTATTCTTTTTTATACTATAATTCATGTTTTATATGACAGTTTAATATTATTAACATATAAATTTAATGAAGTGTAATTTAATTTTTCTAATTCATTATTTTTTTTTAATTTAGTTTAAATTTTAATTATTTTTTAATATCCAATTTGATTTAGTATTATTTTAAATTATTGTTTTTAATTTTTATTTAATTCTTAGAAAGATTTTATATTATATATAATATACATATATTCTATCAATTAAGAACGCATTTATGTGAGTCTATATTAGATAGATATTTACTCATATTCAAATCCGCATAAGAATATATTGCATAAATTATTATTATATTTATATTGTATTGGTTCTTGATTGTACAATAATATTAAAAAAAAAATATTTCTTAGTAAGAAATGGAATGATATTTATGATGAGAGGGATTTACAATCATTCGCTACTTTTTCTCTATATCCTTGTTTGGAAGAAAAAGATTATATAGCTATTATTAGTTACAATTAGATACTCGTGAATCGAGAGTATCATGCTTCGCACAATGTTTGCGCGTAATCTTGCAAATTTATATAATTGCATTAACAATGAATAATTGCTACTCTCTTTTTGTGATGGAATAATTCTCTTTGCAATTCATCACACCGGGTCTTCGGAAATACATCGTTTTATGTTATCTTCCTCGTCAGCACTTCGTCGATGTATTTGTGAATTTAGTTAGAGGCATGCAAAAAGAATAATATTTATTGATATAGATTGGAAGCTTGAGGGGGAGGCTACATTGTCTTGAAAATTACACGCCTCTGGGCGCAAATTTTATAAACGCGTCCCTGCTCCTTGTGATCTCGATTTCTGATTAATCCAATAAACATTATGAGTACATCTATTTTCTGCAGTAAACGTTGTTACATTTTCCATATTTGCTTTTACGACCTTCACCGCATATTCTTACACATCTCCTTTCCGAGAATACAGAACGATAAACTCCTGACCGGATTTCATTTGTAATAAAATCGCTATATAAAGTGATAGGGTACAGTTGCGTTTAGATTGCATAATTGTGTGTGTTCGATTCGTGTTTCGCATATTTAGTATGATTATATCTGCATTCTCTATCATTGCTCTATCATATATTTGCTCTGTCGTTATATTTCAACTAATGATGATTTTTTATTGATAACGCTTATTTATTTAATGACTACTATTAATATAAAAAATTTAATGATAAATGCAATGTCTACTCATCTTTTTAAATGCCTGAATATTTTTGTGACCTTAACACAAAAGGAAGACTTTTAAGAAATAAAAAATTTTTTGTTGTTAAATCACTTTCTATTTGGACAACTAATCAATTAAATTATTAAATTAAATTTTGTCTTGATCCTTATTACTATAAAATTATTTTATGGAATACCTATGATATTTTCTTTATTTTTTAATTGTCATGTATGTGATATGATTGGTACATGCAAGATATCACAAAATTTATGAGAAATACAAAGCGGAAATATGGTAGATTAACGCGACGGTATAAATCTTGCTTCGGCAATGTCAAGCTCGACAAGTTGACCGAGAAAGGACAAAACAGTGCTTGGTGGTCTTTCTTTTTTTTTTCTTTCCTTTAATTCATCATAATGAGACTGTCATGGTACTGCCGCAGGCAGTCAATTGCTTAAACGTTAGTGATTATTGCACAAGCATTACATAAGCTAACAGATGAATCGAGCAGGTGAGGGAGAGGAGCAATGCCGAGAGGAAGCAGCAGAGAAGACAGGAAAAAGACGCAAATTACTACCACTGGGAGCAGTTTACATCCATCATGCGTGTTATATGCGATTAACAATTCTCTTGTCTGCTTTTTTCTCTCTTCTTCCCCTTTTTTCTTACGCTTTTTCTCTGTAACATTGTTCTTTGGCTTCCGTTTGAATGACTAATCATTTCATTTGCAATATTTAATATATTTTATTCTTGTCCTGTAAAGAAAACATTTGTAGAGAAGATCTATGTGACAAGATGTGTATAACAAATTAATTATTCATAATAATACAAAAAATTCTCTGTAAATAATTATTTTATATAGTTTTAATTTTAATCTCTATTTAGACTGATAAAAAATAATTTAAGTTTATATTTTATATTCTTTTTTTATATATTGAAATTGTGAATCAAGATGGGAAAAAGGAAATATAAAATTATATTTTATTATAAGGAAGGATTATTATATAAGATCGAAATAATTATTATTTTAATCGATATCGTAATACTATATTATAACGAAGAAAACGACTGCATTGTAATGATACCATCGAAATGTCATCAAAACAAATTAAATTGTAGCTGGAAAGGGCGAAAAGAGCATCATGGCTGCTTGAAAAGTACAGCCTTGGCTCGCTTGAGAAGACTGCTCTCCCAATAAGATACTTCTTCTTTACTCCATGACGAAATTATCGTCGCAATTGTTCACCCGTCATCGAGTAAATAATTCATAGGATAATCGTGATTGATTTGACGACTCCGACTACGCATTGAGCTGAAAATTCGAATAATAATCTACACAAGAGGTGAAAGTAGGCGAATGACGAGGTGAATATTTTGTACCGACAGATGTAATTGTCATGAAAACAATTCTAATCGTCACGAGCGATTTAACATTCCGAACTTTGTGATGAATGCTGTTGGGATTAAGAGGTCGTGGTTTCTAAAATAATTTGTAAAAGTATGAGATCTGATAAAAAAATAAGCGAACTTTTTGAATTACTCGGCAACAGAGTGTCCTAGCGACGTGCGATTAGCAGCACTATAATCATTATAATCTTGCGAGTAATCTGGCCTTTTTAAAATTGTTTACATCTCGTTTAGTTCCAGAGTTATTGCTATTTGAGTGCAACGTTTTAGTGTTCGTGGCGATTTTCGCTTCGAAATGAATTTTTGCAATTTTTGCCTCAAGATCAAATAATCAATCGTCAGTATTATGATGGCGTTTTGAAAAGATTGCGCGAAAAAATTCGCAAAAAGAAACCACAGTTATGGCGAGACAACTCATGGTTCCTTCACCATGACAATGCACCTGTCCACTCAACCTTGTTAATTTGCAAGTTTTGTGCCAATAATCAGATGACTGTCCTCCCCCAGCCTCCCCAGACCTTGCTCTCTGCGACTTTTTCTTGTTTTTCTTGTTTTTCCCAAAATTAAAATTAGTTCCCAAAATAAAAATTCAGTTCGAGACGAAAATCACCACAAACACTAAAACACGTTTTGCACTCAAATAGCAATAACTCTGAAAACAAGATGTAAACAATTTTAAAAAAGCTAATTACTCAGAAGATTATAACGATTGTAGTGCTGCAAACCGCATGTCGCTAGGACGCTCCGTTGCCGAGTAATTCAAAAAGTTCGCTTATTTTTTTATCAGACCTCGTATACGTTGACGTTAAGATTAAGAAAGGAATCGGATATCTGTATTTTTCAATTTTTCAAAATTCATATAAATTGCGTGAGAACTACATATTTCTCGTCCATGCTTTTATTATCAGGAAAAATATTTACTGATCATAGGACATTCTTCATTCTTGAAGGCACGTAGGAGCGAAAATGAATGCACGCTCAACTAGCGGTCGTCGTACCTTCTTTTCGCTTTTCGTTTTGCTACTTATCGTTTTCTTTCTGGAGCACTCGTCGCAAGTAGGAGCCGTCGTCGTTGTCGTCGTTCGGAATTAATGGCGTCGAGACGTTCGAACCTGATTCATCGACGCCTACTAACCGTCTACGCTGTCGATCTTCTCGATGACAGGATTCGTTGCAAGAAGGATTTTTCTTAATTCGGTTTTAAATAAGGAGGAAACATTTATAAAATCTTTTTTGAACAAAAATTCAAATATTGTATATACTTGCAATAGTCTCTTTTGTTTATGTGATGTTTTTCTTCATTTTTGCAGCAATGATTTATCAAGCAAATATATGTATTAATTTTTATTTCAAAAATACAGTTATAAATAACATATATAAATATTATTAAAATGATTTTTAACTGATGTAACGTTATACATATATTATATTTTTTTTATTCACATTTATACCTGTCATATGTATTTATTGTCTCTCTATGATTTCGCCATCATTCACGTGTGTCGCTGACCACGGCGGAATTCGCTTCCGCTCCAATTTCGCGACGTTTCGTCGGAATTTTGTCTTAACGAAGAAAAAACACGATGGACACGCTATTTCTCGCGCGTGTGCGTTATTCCTTGACCTCCTTAATCGGATCCTCGTTGCTGTTTCTTAACGCCGTCAGCTGTTTCCTTGGGAATTCCTAAGAGACTCTTCTTTTGCGACATCCGTGAAGAGGAGGTTCCGGGAAAAGCGATGAAAAATTGTTGACATT